GCGCAGGCAGGATTACCATTCCATTATCATCCATTAAAAAAATACCCCGCCTGTGCTATCAATACACTGACTGAGTACCGGTGATTGATGATAGTTTATCTTATATAATATGATGTATATATATATATATATATATATATATATATATATATATATATATATATATATATATGTATGTAGGTACATATATAAAAGCTATGTTAATTATGAATGTACATATAAATTCATTATGTTTGTATGTATACTATTTACCATATTACACTAAATAATTGATTATTTTATTATTTAAACCGCCATCGAGTAGGTATATCTGCACATCCTAAATGTTGACAGGTAGAGAATGCCTATAACATTAAGTCCGCCTTTTGTACCACATTGGTCAGTAAAGTTTAAATAAATTAAATTAAGTAAATGATAGATGATAATAAAATCAGACTGGTTGGCTCATCGTGACAAATTCAACAAGAATTAACCACGATATTTTCCAGAGGACCGCGTAGAGGTCGACCTGATATTGCTAGCTTTTAGCTAACTCTTTCTCTCCTATCCGCCAGGAATACACCTCCTCCTATGTTTTTTTTTTGCTGATAAGCCAGAGAACCTTCCTTATATCTAAAGTTGGAGACATAAATGACAAAAAAAGAGATGTTTGAAAACGCTAAACGTGAAAATTTCGGAGTATTTATAAAAATGAGTATGTTCTAATGATGAAATGAATCTTGTCATTGAAATTTTTAAAGTATTATTATGTAGAGAAGCTTTCTTTTTTTATACAACGTAGAATGGCAAACAAGCTGACGGCCCACCTGATGGAAAGTGGTAACCGTCGCCTATAGACATGAGCAGTACCATGAACATAACAGAGTATACTGTTTCGCCCATGATACCTCCCATGCGTTGCCAGTCCTGAGGACTCATGTGTTATTCCTCTGTATCCAGCAAATTCACGCTATATCCCACCCTTCAAACCGAAACACAGCCATGCAAACACAACTGCTTCACGGTTGAAACACGAATGGGACAGAGGTACTTAAGCAATCGACTTTTATACAAAGTCTCCCTCTGATAAAGCTTTTATGTCATGTTTGAATTCTTTCACGTATAAAAATCTATAAAAACAATGTTACTGAACTAAACATGTTTCAACATGTTTCTCGCTGATTATATAATCAGCGAAAAACATGGGCTGTATTTTATTTAGAAAAAAAGGGGCGAGTCGCTAATTGATTAATAATATTTATTCATAATTCAGTCACGTCTATATACTTGCATTGCAGCTCTAGTCAACCATGACAAAAGTTACGTTTTAAATAGCCAAAAGGCATCGGAAATAAACTCAGTATCACATGAGACAACACGAGATCTGAAGCCCTGACATTGAGGCGTCATGTCACCCGGACTGGCCGTGTCAAGTGACTCGTGATTGATGTGCCGGCAGCTCCGAGAAAATATACTTTTAAAATACATCATAGCTACATCATCAGAACATGTCTTCCGGTGACAAAACAAGAAAGACATACATACTTATTCATAAAAACTGATACTTCATACAAAACTGTTTTGTTACTATGCACATTTTGGATGGATAACAGTTATTTTTATATTATTATAAAACCGTTAACTGTCCACTATTGAAGATAAGCGTCCGCTATAAAGGAGGTTTTGCCAGTAGTAGCCACGCTTGGCAGGCGGCTTGGCAACTGCAGTTAGGCTTTAGTGATTGTGGGCGCCAAAGGAAACAAGGAATGGAAATTGGAAATATTAGCAGAAGTAACTTAGAAGATTAAGGCATTGAAGGGAAACCAAAAGAAAATAATAGATACGCCTGTACTCCACAGTGATGTTTTAAGAGGGACGTTGCTGCCCATCCTTCGACCATGGTCCAATCTATGCTGGAACTACACGTCAACATGTTATAATACAATTTTTAATGCTGAAAACAGTATTTTGTATACTTTTTTTTTTGTTCAATAGTAAAAAGTATAATGTAGTGAAAAACAGTATAACACTGTTTTTAACAGTATAATTGGCAACCCTAATCATAAGCACCCAACAAAGAGTAACAATTCAGAATTTGCTATAATAAAAAGTATACAGTGGAAGCGTGCTGGGCCCATAACCTGTGATTTCATAAAATAAGACAATAAAGAATTATTTACGCACCAAATACAATTTAAATACCATTTTTAGACAGCTGAGAAACAAAAGAACTATATTCGATTTCCTTTTTTAGTAGGCAGGTATATACATAAAAGAAAAGGTATATAAAACTGACATAATTGCCATTTGCTAATCAGGCAATCCCGAAAATTAGTAATATATACCATGAGCCTATAGACATGAGCAGTAGCATGGACATAACAGAGTATACTGTTTCACCCATGATACCCCCCATGCGTTGCCATTCCTGAGGACTCAGGTGTTATTCCTCTGAAAATGAATAAATAATTACAAGATATTACTAAATATAAGAGAAACATCAAGTTGCTTGCTGAAATTATAAATGAAATTAGTGGAAAGTTAAAGGTTTTTTTACAACACAGGGGGCAAACGAGCATGCTGCTCACCTGATGGTAAGTGACTACCGCCGCCTATGATCACCCACAACACTAGCGGCATTGCAGGTGTGCTGCCGACCTTTTAAAAAGGAATATGCTCTTTTCTTGAAGGTTATGTTGTCGTATCGGTTCGGAAATACTGCTGCTGGTAGTTGATTCCAAAGAATGGTTGTGCTTGGGAGAAAGTGCCTTGAAAAACGCACGGTAGAAGACTGCCACTCGTTCAGATGGTTGGGATGAAACTTTATGGCGGATTTTACGGCGGTGAAAATGCTACTGATGTGATGTGATGATGATGATGAACGTCTAATTTGAGCCGCCTGAAAGTTAACAAAGGAAGAGAGATTAAAAGTTTTGTGATATAAAGTGGCTGCTTCTAAAATATATAATTGTCGAACAATAATAAGCTATTAACAGAATCTCAGCTACTAACAGAATGCAGGTACAGTATAGTCAGTTGTCACGATTGCCTAATATTAATACTGATATTAACACGACCTTAAACAAATTCAAATCAACTTTGTATAGATTCTTTTGTTAAATTTATTCAGCTTAATAACAGCATGGCATGTATCATTGCACATGTGTACAGATTACAAGTGTACAAATCTTTGAAATTTAAAATATTACTGTAGTCTATTTATTGTATAACTAGTATTGTAGTTTTTATAAATTTTCTTACTAATAATAATATATATATTATGAATACGCATGTCGTGGCGGCCTTTAATTGAGGCAGCATTTTATAATGTAACGATATTATCATGTATTTTAAGTACATATAAATGTATGCTTTGTTGGTTGTCCTTAAATAAATAAATAAATAAGTACCTTTGCTTCAGAATATAGAAAGCGCGTAGATAGATAGATAGATAGATAGATAATTTATTTGCATTACTTACAGCACACAAATTATAACATATACAGATATACATAAGAAGCGAGATAACATAAATGATTAACAAATTACATAAACCCAAGTACAATTTGTCTTTTGTGCGTGTGCCATGACAATACAAAATGGCCACAACTCAGTTTATTGCTTCGCCCTCAAAAGAGCAAAGCACTGATATTTTGTTGCGGCCAAGTGGAATAGGGTAACAATACAACAATACTACCAGATTATCAATACAGTAAAAAGACAGATATATTTTTTTTATACAACTTAGAATGGCAAACAATCTGACGGCCCACCTGATGGAAAGTGGTAACCGTCGCCTATAGACATGAGCAGTACCATGGACATAACAGAATATACTGTTTCGCCCATGATACCCCCCATGCGTTGCCATTCCTGAGGACTCAGGTGTTATTCCTCTGTACCCTGTAAATTCATGCCACATCCCACCCTTCAAATCGAAACACAGCCTGCAATGCCGTTTGTGTTTAGAATGATCATGGACAGCGGTAGTCACTTACCATCAGGTGAGCCGCATGCTCGGTTGCGCTCTGTGTTGTAAAAAAAATTGAAAGGATGTGACAAAACAGATCAATAGTTAAAATAGGTTTGTAATAAATTTTAATTTTTATGAATAATATGGGATAGCTGTATACCATTGTCGTAGTTGTAGCCTTGAATATAGAAGATGGTTCACCTGTATATCAAATTTGTTGATTTATTGACGTAGTTATGTAATATAATAAATAACTTCTGCTGCCTTGGTCTTTATTAAGCGTGTGGTAGCGTAAACGAGTCATTTACGCTACCACACACTTAGTCAACCATTTTTTACAAAAAGAAATACAATTTAATATATATATATATATATATATATATATATATATATATATATATATATATATATATATATATATATATATATATATATAATAAAACAAGTTTGTTAATTACAAATTATTTCTTTTTATTACACTTAATTTTTACTGGTTATATACATATTATACCGAAACCAAATTTCGAAATTCGTGATAAGAATCGATATCATCAACTTTTCATATTAAAGTCTAGGATTTTTTTTTAATTCCGACCTTAGATCCTCTGCTCCAATCAATACATGACAGTATTCATTGTCTTAAAAAAAAATAAAAAAAAATAACAATACGATTAATCTGCACCTGTATCAACGACTCTACATAGTATAAAGTGTGGGCATTTTTGTTATTGGTTATATATATTTGTTGCCAAGCATGGCAACTACTGGTAGTGGGCTATTAACGGCTAATATGATATCTATTATTATGTAGTGTCGATGATACATTATTTAATCATTAATCATTCTTTTAATAATTTTAATAAAAGAAAAAATATTTTAAAAAATTAAACACACTGTACGACTCATGCGCATTCCAAAAATGAGTATTGAGACTTTATAATGACTGCCAAATAATGTAAATAGATCCCTTTACAGTACAACGCTCATAGTTACTTCCCGCAACCAATTAGTTCCCTGCAAGTGTACTAACCCCTGCCCCCTCCCCCAGGGTGTCCCGGACAGACCCCGAGCTGGACCTGGGAGACGCCCAACTCCTGGACGCCTCGGCCGCGAAACACAAACGAGCCGTACGACCGAAGAAGAATCACCCCAGAGGGAAGTCGAATGGACTTAAAAACGATGGAGAGAGGTTTGTAAATTGTGCTTTTACTGTACTTCCAACCGACTTTAAAAAGAAGAAGGTACTCAATTCGGTTGATTTTTTTTTATATGTTCATTACTTTATAATTCTGTCAGTTTTAAACTAATTTGGAAAATTTGGTAAAGACAAGAATTGTACGATTCTTTCGTTCAATGAAAATTTGATCACATTTTCCTCATCACATAAGTACACCCGTACGAAGCCGGAGCAGGCGGCTAGTATATAACAGATAAATGCCCCAGTTTCAGCTCCCAACTTGATACTACATAAGTGTTGTTCTTGAAAGTGATATTGCAATAAATTGCTGTACAGTTGACCGTGTTATTTATTTTCGCCGCCATCCCAAGAGCAAGTGTTATCTGGTCTATTTGACCATTACATAACGAGGATGACGAATGGCACGCTGTTCGGGTGATTGCGACCTAATTGCTGAATACACGATCGCGAATCTGAGGGCCTACCATGAAATGTTTCCGAAATTTCGGAGCCGAACGAAACACAAATTTGATGTTAAAATTACATAATACATGCCGTTTGGAAATATTAAAAATGTTAAAATATCGTTCCTTTGGACTTTTATGATAGGATGTATGATAAACGAAATGTTGAACTCCATTTATTGATCCGATTTTGGTATAAACAACAACACGAAATTGAGTCCGAAAATTCAGAATTTCATTTCATGGTAGACCCGCTGATTTCAATGTTGCGACGACTTTGCGCTGGCCCGTGGCGATGTCTGAATTGTTAACATTCGACAAAATAAAAAATATTTCTAGTTTGATTTCTAAATAATATTTTTACTTGTAAATTTAATTAATATATACATCACTAACAACTAAAACTAACAAATGTAAATAGGCTATTCGTAGGCCAACGAGCTCCGTCTTAGGCTACATGATCATTTTCCATCAGGTACGATCGTGGTCATTTGTAGCATGCACCCTTTAAAATAAAATAAAAACAACGCGGTTCAGAAATGTTTTCTCTCACGAACACTCAGGTTATGGAATGAGCTCCCTGCCGAGGTTTTCCCAAGAGACTACAGCATGGGGTTCTTCAAAAAGGGGGTAAAGAGGTTTCTTCAGGGTCGGCAACGCGCGCGTAATACCTCTGGTATTGCAGGTGTTCATAGGCTACAGTAACCACTTACCATCAGGTGGACCGTATGCTTATTTGCCACCTCAGTGGTATAAAAAAAAATACCACTTTAATCTATAACCTACTGAAACTAAACATTGCATCTCTATGCATCTTTTATCGAATATATTTATTTATTTATTTTTTATTGCACAATAAAATTTTGTACAAATGGCGAGCTTAATGCCATATGGCATTCTCTACCAGCTAACAATATATCATGGGGAGTGTTCTGAGGAATTGTTCGGATTGATATCTGTTGCTGATTTTCACCACCGTACAACCCGTCACAAACTAAAGTTCCATCTCATCCAACTGGATGAGTGGCGGGCCTCCATCGTGTAATGTTCTACCATCAGGTGGGACGTATGCTTGTTTGCCACCTCAGTGGTATAAAGAAAAAATATTTAATCAGACTACATAAGGCCCATTTTGTTAGTTATAAATTGCCTTAACCTATGTTAGTAAATCAGCGGTCATGACGCTCTTGCATTGATAACCTGTCCCACCCAATATTTTAGGATGGGACAGTCCATTTTACCAGAAATTTAATACTTGTATTATGAATACTTGTATAATTACGACTCGATACTTTTTGTCTATCTTGTAAACGGTTTTTTTTATGGATGATAATGGAATGGTAAACCCCACCCGCGCTATCGGTATACACCGGCGGGGCACCAGTGAAAGATAGGTGAGGATGAAGTAGGTCAGTTAGCCCATTGTGACGAATTCAACAAGAATTGTTCACGATGGTTTCCAGGGGGAACCACGTGTAGGTCGACCTAATAAGGCATATTGCTAGCAATGGGGCTGTCAAACTCCATTGCTAACAATCCCTTTCCCTCCTCTTGTAAATGGTTAGAAAGATATAGGCCTATAGTCCATTCCATACAAAAATAATCACAATACAGACAAACCATTTTCAGTTTCATATATAGATGAGATCTCCCGCTGTGACATTTATAATGGAAACCCCTTAGATCTGTTGACAGTAAAAAATACATACACGACATACAACTTATAATATCGGTCAAGATTATACTAAAAAGCTCGCGTTCCAAACTAATGTAACATGTCTGACGGTGGATGCGAATTAATTTCACATACACGCCCGAACATCTTATACGCCCATCTTATACGACATGACGATTTTTTTAAGAGCATAGTAGAAGGAAAGATAGAGGGCAAAAGAGGAAGAGGAAGACCGAGGATTAACTACATGGGACAGATAAAGGAAACACTGGGCGTCATGTCGTATAGGGAGATAAAGGATATGGCCTGGGATAGAGCTGGCTGGAGGAAGATGCATGAATTAGTTGCACCGACAAGAGGAAACTCTTAAATGAAAATGAAAAATGACACGCCCGAACACTTTTTAATACAATATTACTGTAATTGAATGGTATTAATAAAAAAAAGAAATATAATTAAATTTAAATTGAAATCATGATTATTCGAATAGACTTATTTATTTACTAGCGGCCCGTCCCGGCGTCGCACGGGTGGACATTTTTACATTCAAAAAGTAGCCGTTAAGGCTGCACACGCGACGGAAGCTTAAAAATGGAGTAACTTCTCCCGTTTTCCTAACATTTCCCTTCACTGCTCTGCTCCTATTGATCGTAGCGTGATGAAAATTATACTATAACCTTGTGACGGTTCGCCTATAGTACAATAGGTTTAATACCATAAGTACATAGAAAAGAAACAGGGGTTCCTATGGGTGACCGCTGCGAAAGCTGAGCTATTTAATATAAACAAACTTTAAAGTCAAGGTTCACAATAGTATACAGAGAAGACGTTACCATATATGAAATATTGACACAGAAGGGAAACTCCTTTGATGTGTTTCCAAAGTGTAGTGGATGTCACAAGAAAATTAAATAAATTAAACAAAAATATATTATATTTTATATATAACCAAATTATAGTTTACCTTTTTATCATCAGGTGTAAAAAAGATACATACAACACAGTTTAATAAGGTTTATGAGAGTCTTTAAAGTTTTATAAATTCGATAATCAATTTAATATAAAATACCAAAATACGTTAACATATAATTAAATTGAATTTAAAGAAAAGTTCAGTTCGAATAATAGGCTAAATCTGATTATTGAAATATCTACCCTTCGGTGACATAATCTATGACGTTATTAGAGAAAGAAAAAAAAAAAAAAAGAGGAGGAGAGACGGCAGATCGGCGGGCGCGCGGGAGTCGCTTTTTAGGAATTGCGCAATAAAAAAAAAAAAAAAGGACGGCAAATGGCGCGGGAGTCGTGTTTTAGGGATTGCGCAATAAAATAAAAAAAATAACTGGGATATAGATCTAGGAGGGACTGGATCGATGAAGGGGTTTGAGATCTTAGTGTATCACTATCGATTAAGTGTGTGAAATTAATCAATAGAAGACTGGAGAATCCGGTGAGCTTGTTCCATTTATTACTACGTAGTTAGATTTTTGACTGTGATCGCAGGCAAAGTCTGTACTTAATATTTTTCCCAACAACTTAATAGTTGTTGTAAATACGTATTTAGTCGAGTCCATGTACCTTTGGGTAATGCGTGTATCGTTAAATGCAATCACATTTGAACAAAGTTTACATCAATATAATTTACGTACTTGCGTTATTCTGCTCATATACAAGGTCCAATTATATGGTCGTTTGATAGAACTTCATCAATTTGATTCAATGTTCTAATTGTCCAGTTTTGAAAAATACTTATTGAATCAACTATTGAACTATTACAATACTAACTAGTTTCATATCTAGTTATTATAAAGTATTTATTTATTGAAGATAATAGACTAGGGTGACTATGGTCTGGTCTCATTGCTGGGGAAACGGCCATTGATGAGAGAGAGGGGTTATTGGGTGGCGGCCCTGTGAATGCAAGTGCGGTGTGGGCTACCTCCGTTGTTTGGAGTGACTGTTTTATGTGTATTGTGGGGCCGTTCCTTGTGTCAGTCGGTGGAAATTTGCCTGTGTTCAGTCGTGGGTTGGTGATGGTTGAAACGATGATGATGATGAAATATTTGTATTTATTACACTATTACAGTGTTGGTTTGGAATATCTGTTCATACTTAACGCTTCATGGTGAAGTGTTTTTATACCATTACTCGGTCGACCAGATTAATGATTCTTAGTCTATATTTGATTATCCATGACTACATGTGGGGATTTGTTGTACACCAGATGTACAAAGAGACAGCTTAACTGTTGCAAGTGATATTATGTGAATGTAATACTTTTAATACATTATTAATTGTGTTACTAGATAAATTCATGTGACTGTGGGGTGTGTATGGTAAACAAGCCTGTATTGTTTAAATAGATATTTTGTCTTGATTTATTATAAACTTTAATATTGATTTTGTTGTAGTAAGCAGGCTGATAATAACAATTCTGTGTGTATTACTGATTACTGATAATTAATTATGCTGATATTATAGGTGTGGATTTATTTCCTAATGGTAATAAAAGTACTAAAGGATTCTCTGACTATAGTTATTCTTAACTAGGTAGGAGGTACAGTGTAAAATTAGTACTAAATGACAAGTGTGAGTTATTTATTATTTATTATATTATTTTACTCATATTTATGAAGAAAGTTGTCATGGCGATAAGGTTTGTATGTGTGTTGTTTGTTCATGTTATATTGACTAGACAAGTTCAGACAGGGTTAAAATTAGTGAATCTTTATTGGATTTATATTTAATAGACATGTTTTGAATATTTATGGGAATGGAATGGAGATATACAAGTAGTAAAATATAATATTAGTATTTTATAAATTTCATTATTGAGTTATGTGTTTATGTCGGACTGTATCCAAGGAGATATT